TCAGGCCATGACAGCCCCCCCAGCCCCTCCCTGTGCCTGGGGGTGACAGTGTGTCCCTCCCAGGTGCGGATGTACTCACGGACCATCGCCATCATCGGGGGCTTCCTCATCCTGGCCAGTGGGGCCGGAGAGCTGTACCGGCAGAAGCCACGGAGCCGCTCCCTGCAGTCCACGGGACAGGTCTTCCTGGGCATCTACCTCATCTGCCAGGTATGGGCACAGCTCTGTGCTGTCCCCACCCTGCTGCATGGGGAGGGGGTGGAGCAATGATGCCCTGGCAGAGGAACCTCGGGCCAGTGGCACTGTTGTCCCCTGGGGAGAGGCCTCAGGCAAGTGTTTGCTGTGCCACCACTGCTACCACACTCCAGTTTCCCCGTTGTCCCTATGATAGAAATCTCAGGCAAGCATTTCCAGTCCCACCAGTAGCACCAGTGCAACTCCTGCCCTGCATCGCCCTGGAGGCGAAGCCCTGGCAGGTTTTTCCAGTGCTACCAGTGCCACCACACTCCAGTCCCACTATTATCCCTGTGATAGAAGCCTCAGGAGAGGGTTTCCATTGCCTCTAATTAATTGTTCCTGGGATAGAAGCCTTGGGCTAGTGTTTCCAGTGCCATCAGTAGCACCAGTGTTGCCACACTCCAGCCCTGCACTGCCCTGTGGGAGAAGCCTTGGGCAGGTGTTTCCAGTGGCACAAGTGCCACCACACTCCATTCCCCATTGTCCCCTGGATAGGATCCTTGGGCAAGTGTTTCCAGTGCCACCATTGCCCCTAATAGTCCCTGGGGTAGCACCCTCAGGCCAGTGTTTCTAGTGCCATCAGTGCCCCCACACTCCATACCCATTATCCCTGGGGTATAACCCTCCTACAAGTGTTCCCAGTGCCTCCACACTGTCCCCCTTTGTCCCCCCAGGCCTATTCCCTGCAGCACAGCAAGGAGGATCGCTTAGCCTACCTGGACCACCTGCTGGGGGGAGAGCTAGCCCTGCAGCTGCTCTTCCTGCTCTATGGGCTACTAGCCCTGGCCTTCCTCTCGGGCTACTACGTGCGTGTGGCAGCACAGGTGCTGGCAGTGCTGCTGCCCCTGGCCATCCTCCTCATCGATGGCAACTTGGGCTACTGGCACGCTGCACGCCGGGTCGAGTTCTGGAACCAGATGAAGCTCATTGGCCAAAATGTTGGCATTTTTGGGGCTGTGGTGATCCTGGCAACGGATGGATGAGGAGGAGGGAAAAAGGAGGGGAGGGAAAGGGGTTGGGGTGGTTTTTGTAAGGTTGTTGCTATTTATTCAGGGGTTTTTTTTTGTTTTGTCATTGTTTGTAAATATTTGATAATTTGGGAGGA